GGGGAGGGGGAGGGGGGCATGCCGTCCTGGGGACAGCAGGGCCTGGCACCCAACTCTGCCCTGCTTGGAAGGTTCTGGAGAGAGGCCAGGAAGTGAGCTGCAGAGGGAGCTAGACAGGATTCAGCATGCTTAGTTAAGTGTCATTTTTGTTGTTCTCATGGTTCTGGAGGTGGAACTCAAGGCCTTCACAGTGAGCTACCTCCCCAGCCCTTTTTATTTTTCATTTTGAGACAGAGTCTCACTAAGTCATGAAGTTGCCCAGGCTGGGTTTGAACTTGGGTCCTTTTGCCTCAGCCTCCCAGGGAGCTGGGATGACAGGTGAAATTTAAATTTCATATAAACAATAAATGCATTTCCTTAGTACAAATATATCCCCAAAATGGCATGGGATATATTCATACTATGCATTTATGTTGTGTTATGTGATATTCAGCTTTGCCTGACTCTCATCTGGCAACCCTAGGAGTTCATTTAAAACTATTTTAGAATTATTATTTAGGGCCTGCTGTATATGTGCATGCATGAAATCAATCACAGCACTCTGGGAGGCCTCAAGCAGGAGGACCCCTGCCCCCCAAAATAATTTTTTAGCCAGAAGTGGTGGTACACACCTATAATCCCAGCAGTTGTGAGGCTGAGGCAGGAGGATCACTGTGAATCCGAAACCAGCCTATGCCCTTTTTTTTTGTTTTCTGTTTTGAAGACAGGGTCTCTATGTAGTCCAGGCCTTGAGTTCATGGTGATCCTCCTGCCTCAGCCACCCAAGTGCTGGGACGACAGGTGTGCACTCCCCCGGCCAGCAAAAGAATTATTATTTAGAAAATCATTTGATAGTGATCACCCAGACTTGTAAGAATTCATTAAACTGACCAGTTATTATTTAAGCGCAGTTCCGGCTGAGACACGACAAGACTTATGTGGCGTTGCCTTGATCCTGTCCTCTTCCTCCATCCGTCCCTGCTGCAGTACAAGCAAGTGGAGCAGTACATGTCCTTCCACAAGCTGCCCGCCGACTTCCGCCAGAAGATCCACGACTACTACGAGCACCGCTACCAGGGCAAGATGTTCGACGAAGACAGCATCCTGGGCGAGCTGAACGGGCCGCTGAGGGAGGTGAGGGCCAACGGGCGCTTGGGGAGCCCGCATAGGGTCCCCCACACCCAGGACACCCTGCTCTCACGGGCTCACTGAAGGGAGGCCTGGGGTGGAGGGCTGGGAGGTGACAGCCAGCCCCAGGAGGAGGTCACGTGCAGGGCAAGCCCGGAGGGCCTGGAGTGCACCCGGCACAGCCTCCAGGGAGCAGCCGTGGTTGTCAAGGCTGGAGTCTCCACCCCCATGATGTTTCCATTATGAATCTCAGTCATTTCTTCATGTGTAGCATGAGAACTCGCAGACCACAAATGCATTAAACTTACTGCGTTTAGCTGCGTACGCTGGGAGGCTGAAGCAGGATGGTCACAAGTTCCAGCCCATGGCAGACAGCGTGGTGAAGTAGTGGGACCCTTTCTAAAAACAAAATTAAAAAGGCTGATGTGCTGGGGATTTAGCTCAGTGGTTCCACTGCCTGCCTTGCAAGTGCAAGGACCCGAGTTCGATCCCCGGTACCAAAAAATAAAATATAAAAAGGCTGAGAACATAGCTCAGTGTGAAGTTCCATCCCTCACCTCCTGGTGAGATTCGCACCCACCCAGGTGCTGGCGCAGGGCCCTAGGTTGTCCCAACTCTGCCTGTGTGCTTCAGTGGGGACAACCGGGTCCTGAGGATCCGTGATGCTTGCCTGGAGCAGCTCCTGTGGGCCAGGCTGAGTGGTTCATATGATTGGGGTTCATCTCATTTGCATTTTGCTTTCTTTTAACTCTTTTTCTCCACAGAGCTTTTTTTGTTGTTGTTTTTGTTTTTAATATACTGAGAGATGGAACCCAGGGTCTTTGTACTGAGCTACATCCTCACCCTTTTTATTATTTTATTTTACATCAGGGTCTCACTAAATTGCTAAGTTGCAAAGGCTGGGGTTGAACTTGTGATCCTCCTGCCTCAGCCTCCTGGAGTATGGGGATGACAGATGTGAGCCATCACACCCAGTTCTGGCTTCTTTTTCTGTCTTTAGAAATTCTCTATATATGGCGAACACTGACCCTTTGTGACACAGATTCTATTTTAGTGGCCACTTGTCTTTTAACTTTGCTTATAGTTTTAGTTTTTTTTTTTTGTATTAGGGACTGAACACAAGGAACACTGAGCTACATCCAAAGCCCTTTTTATTTTATTTGGATGCAGTGTCTTGCTACGGTTCCCAGGCTGGATTTCAACTTGTGATCCTCCTGCCTCACACTCCAGAATAGCTGGGGTGACAGGCATTTGTCTGACTTCGGCTCAGATTTTTTAACCCTGTGTCCAACAGGTGTTCCATGTATGCTTGCTGTATACAGTAGGTGCTGGATAAATGCCCAATTCATGAAGGAGGCATAGCTTACTTGCTTTTGTATAAAATAGGTGTTTAACACTGCTTTCATGTACTCCAAGCACTTAACATAAACTTGCTGTATGGAGTAGGTCCCTGATTCCTGTTTGCTGTATTCAGCAAGTGCACAATAAGTAACCATGGTAGCCACTCATGTCATAGAGAAATTCACTTCTATTTCTTCTAGTCCTTTCTATATTGACCCTGGCCTCTTTGGGTTCTCCTGGTTTCTGGGGTAAGGCAAGGTTCAAGTCCACCCCACCATTGGTGACTCACTGAGGACTCCTTTTTACCTTCTGCTAAAATTTTTGTGGGGGTCTGTTTCTGGACTTTTTTTTTTTTTTTTTTTT